TTTATAAAAAGTAACCACGGAACGGTCAGCCAACCAACTTCTATAGTAGGGTTCCACTAAGTGGAAAGAGAAATCTTATTCACTTTCTACATCACCGATTGAGTAAGATCTTTTGTACTAAATGTATTGAAGAACTTGAATCCTCTAGAAAAAGCGTTGGACAAAAATGCTTATCCAAACCAGTTCTTAGAAAGGGATAAGATGAAAACTCTAAGCAACTATTCTAGAAATTCCATTTCAGGTAACTATGTTTATATAAATATATAATTTAAATGTGATCGTACTACTGATATTCTTAAGTATTGGTTGTTTTCGGTAATTAAAAGAACGTTCTTACTTACTTACTTACTTACTTACTCCTGTTACTTCCAATGGACCATAGGCCGTCGACCAGCATTCTCCAACACACTCTGTCCTGGGCCGTCCTTTATAATTCTATCCAATCAAAAAGAACATTATATTTCAACTTTAAATTCATTTTTGAAGTGTTTAAGATTAGTTTAATGTTCAGTTGAAGAAAATTCCTAACTTCTAATGCTATTCTACCTGATTTCATGTACAAAATGTTTCTTGTCTAGGGAAGAAATCGAAACATTTTATATCATTACTCTTTTCTATGTTAAGCAGTGAAATAGATTATTTATTTACATTTTCTCATTGAAAGATTCCATCAAATTAGCATTTTACACTTCACTTCACTTAAGAAAATAAATTAAACTCATTTAACAAAGTTTTTATATTAAATGTAAGAAGACTATTTTATTGAAGTAAACACTTAATTATACTACTATTTTTCAATTCGATACATCATTATATGGTTGTATTTTGTTAATTTGCACAAGTTTGACCTATACTGAACTTCTTATGATCTATTCATGTAATCATTATAAATCACGTCATTCTTAAATGAGACCGAAGATTATCAAAACTATGTGATATATTAGCGTAATACATTTCGAACAATCTGATCATACATACACTTGTTAAGAACATTTATATATAAAAATAATTGATCAACTAAACTAGAAATAGAGGATAAGGGAAGACAAGGATAGTAATCAGGAAAAAACATGAAAAAAAAATCGAAACCTCATAATTCTGGTAACATTAGCTTATTATCCAGAGATATGAGGTTTCAAATCGTTTTCACATTATTTTATTTATTATCCTTGCCTCTTCTTACGCTCCATTTATAGTCTAGTTGACCGTTTATTTTTATATATAAATATTCCAAACGCATCTCAGAATACTACCCGGCATGGTTTTCGAAAGGGGAATTCTCTATAAAAATGTTCTTAACAAGTGTATGTATGATCAGATTGTTCAAAATGTATTACATCATTATATCATATAATTCTAGTAATCTTCGTTTTCATATTACACTATGAAAATTTTTCAAACGGACTAATTACTTTAAATTTTAGATGAATTAAATTTTAATCAGAGGGGGTTTTGTGGATATTTCAGTATTTTCATAGTTGAAATCATGAGCCTATTGAAGCTAGACAACCATGGAAAACCTTAAAGCACTGGACGGCTGTTTCGTTCTATTGTGGAACTCTTTGACAGTGTGCATCCACGATCCCGCCTAGCGAGATTCGAACCCAGGACCTACCAGTCAGAAGAGTCTCACAATAGAACGAAACGGCCGTCCAGTGCTTCCAGATTTTCTATGGTGGTCTAGCTTCAATTGACTCGTGATTTCAACTATGAGAATTTAATTTTCACAAAGTTGAATAATAAAATATGGATGATGTATGTATCAGTGAAATTTATTCACTGAAACTAATTTGTATACAACACAGGTTATCAACTCAATGATGTCAAGAAAAAGAAAAGAGAAAAAAGGAAAAAAAAGAAAACAGACTGAAGACAAACTATTTGTTTAATCAACTATATTATGAATCCATTATACAGATCAGTAATAAACAACCTGATAAAATTCTAGTTATATTTTAAAATAACGACTAATTTTGTTTTAAAATCAACAGTAATAACTGAGTATAAATTAAGTTTGCATATTATATTTTGCACTTAGTGACCTATTTTTGCTTCTCTCACTACATTGTACTCTAGTTAAATTCAAAAAAAGTTTTTTACTAGTTTCACTCTATAAGTTTAATGGATTTGTATATTTAATAAATTCCAAAAGATGTTGACTAGTTATTATATTCTTCATTCTATAATTTCAACCACTTATATATTGATCGGATCTTCAATGGAGTTAATGTAATCAAAAGATTCCAAGCATTTTATTATTATTACATAGTAATAATCAGTTTATTCAATGTTTTATAATTGCTTCCAAATACCCTGGTACAGCCGAAAGTGGGGAGGGCCCGCCCTCTCTCTCGAAATGCTCTCACATGGCCACGCATATATAACCCCTACAAGGGAGGTCCTACTCAATGCCTTCTCGTGGCGTGGGCCTTGTTCACGAAATTGAGAGGATGAAAAGCGAATGTCCAGCGCTTTAACCGGATTGGTGGACACGGAAGGTTCACTTAGGGGATTTGGAAAACCCTGATCCCAAACCAATGGTTCACACGGGCTCCAGTATCCTGAGGGAACAAACGGCGTATGAACCAATCGTCGACTACCGGCTACCGTGGGACTGAATCTCCTCACGATGCTCTACTGTCCTGTGGGTCAGATCTTTAGGTCAAAGGCTCCAGTGTGGTTCTCTTAGAAAACCACCTGCTTCGGTTTGGTCACCCGTACAGTATCTCAGCCCTCACACAAATCAAATGAGATTTGTGAGGCGCATAAGTATCTGGTGCCCCTTTGTACCAATACTTATGTGTTTAAATACATAAATAGAATAAATTTTTTATAATTAACATATAAATATTACATTTTAAAAATCCAAATATTATCCTTAGGAAGACTAGTAATTTACTTCATGTTGTCACTAGGCTGGTGTTTTCTGGAATTAGCTTAGTTTTTACAACAACAAAAATATTCCGTTTGCATGAATTGTTAAAAAGATTACAAATTTGTGGTTAGTTACAATATGGTGTCTTTTATTGAAAAAAAATCGGATCATCCCCAACAGTTGATTCATATCTAAAACTCGTTGCATCATATATAGTGAATCCTGCTAATTTGTGTGCGTCAGTATCTTCATGAGAGAGATATGGTTCTTCACAGAGATAATTGTTTATCTTCAGGATCTGAAGATTTATTTTTCTGATGAAAGTGAAACCGAATCACTCTCATTTCCTTTTTACTTAATTATCATAAGCATATTTGAAAATGATTGTTTATTCATTTGTCTAGGCCATTTATTTTCCTGTTTCGTACATAATCCAATAAAGTATCCAATTATTGATTTGTTTTACCTCATTAATCCTATATGTTAGTCACCTAATGTAAAAATGTTTGGTTTATTTTCTCTGCAATCTATATTTTAAGAAAGGTCATAGAGGATTAATTATATTACATGATCAAAAGATTATCGTTGAAGCGAAATTGTTCGTAGATTACCAAAGGAGGCGATCACAATTTCGAATTTTCATTAGTTACTCGAATATAAGACAGAATTTTTCTTTGAAATATTTCCTATTTTGTGCAGAAAATTTCTTATTGACGTGCAACATAGTGACCATTCAAATCCTACAAAACGCTTTTCATCAAACGTTTGTGAAAAATCAGCAAACCTTAAATGATATACTTCATTTATTTTTATTGAATAAATATATAAGCCAATAAAAACGATCCGCTCATACCTATGGGCATTTTTCGTAATTAAAACGTCCTACTTTGTATTGTTTTAAGTGATCAGTTTTATATTTATATATATATATATATATATATATATATATATATATATATATATATATATATTCATTTATCCATGAGCTTTTTTTGGGGATTAGAGATGATTGCAAAGTTAATTACCTAGATTTTGATTATTACCCTGAAGAAGTCCAGACAAGTTTGTTGAATGAAACGTTGGAATTAAATTCCAATCTCTGAGATTATTTCAAATATAATTTTCACATATAATGAAAACTATCAAGGTTGTTTGTGTATGATTCGATTTATCTATTCCTTGATCCGTTCTTTTTTATGATCTTCAAGTAAATGATCTTTAGCATTTTGTTTCTGGATACTATTTCATACTTATCATACTTTGACTATCTTGTAATTTTAAATCCTGATTGACTTTTAGAATTTCTATCAATGACACAATAATTCTTTATTTTTATTATAGACTACTATATGTAGACACAATAAACATAAATATAAGTATACAGTTCCGTTAAATTATGTCATTGGAAAATAAAATTGCTTTCTACTGAAACGTCTTCACTTTGTCTAACGACTCAATAAGCTTCTCTCGTTATTTTAAAATACATTCAGTTCTTCTTATTGTATCACTTTCACCGTATGGCCATTCATTTACTAGAATAGTTTGTTTTACACGACTAGGTGGATGACAAACCGGTTCTTTGCAGCTGGCTGTTACATCTTGGGTTAGTTGTAATGGTCTATCATATAATGATAGAACTATGTTACTCTTGTTAGAAGAGCCTTTTTTCTAGTCAGGTAATGAGTAGTGCAGCTCACAATGTCGTGATTATTTGATATCCCATAGCTTTGATTGTACCAAATTACTATGACAAAATTTAGACTATAAATTGTGAGAATCTACAAGTCATGTGATCTGCAATTTTGAATAAGTGTGCAGATGTCTTATATGACTGTGATTCGAATTCACTAAGATTGGTATGAAATTGAATGTGTTCATTACCACTTTCTCTCGATTTAAGAAATGCTTTAACTAAATATTGCATAATAGTTATTATTTTAGAGAATTGCTGCGTTGGTAACTAAAAGTAATTACAACTTAATTAATTAAATAATACTTTTCATTATTAAGCTTATTTACAGTAAAAAAACAAAAGCTTCATTGGATTGGTCAATCAGTGCTCAATGATCTTGTATATGATTGGTTAAATTAACTTTAAGCTTACTAAAAATTTTTTAGAACATTTGTTAAACTTAACTAAAATCTTTAACTAATATTTTGTTGGATTTTTAAAATATCTTTTAATACTACAGTACTTCGACTTAAAATACATGAATTAACTGGTTTCATAATAAATAATAATGTCAGGAGTTGGATCTGCATCAAATGCGTCTATTCATCGAAATGCACATGATGATGAAAAATGTAGAAGTCGTTATTTTTTACATCATCATGGTCCAGATCATTCTCAAGGACGATCTCTCAGTTCTTTCAAGCAGCATATGTCCAGTAGTGCGTTAGGTCATTTAATATCAAGTGCTAGTCAAAAACACCTATCACGGCAACATAAGACAACTCATCGATTTAAATTCTCCAGTGCTGGTAGTCTATCACATAATCAAGTACATTTACATAAGGAAAGTAATAATCATTGTAAAACTGATGATGGAGTTTTTGAAGTTCTTTTAAAAGGACATGTTTTTGTACGTGCTACTTGTTCAAGACTTCGAGATCCATGCGAATTCTGTCTGCATTCAGTTCATGGTCATTCTTATTTGTATTGCAGAAATTGTCCCGTCGTGATTCATAATAAAGATATTTGTCAGGAACACCTTACTAGAGTATGTCCTGCTCCAGAACTAGGAATTAAAGGGTGGGGTGAAGGTGAGATTTTTTATATTTTCAAATCCTTTTTTTTCATAAAGTCATCTTTAAGTAACTTGTTAATTCATTTTTATACTGTTTTCAATAGACTTTTAGCTTAGATTTAACTTTAACTATATATTGAACATCCAAAGAATGAAACCCTGTTATTCGGTTGAAATATATGCATCTTAAGTTGTAACTGTTTTTTTCCAACTTTAATTAAGGACACTATACACCTAAATTCAACTTACGAACAAACCTAGATATGTAAAAAACGTCGACTAGCAATGGAATGAAAAGTTCATCTCTTGAAATCTTTACTTGGTGATTCATATATTGTGATTAATCTTTTTATTAAGATACTGGTTGAAAAGTATTTTGTTGTTTAATTTGTGTAACTGGTCATAATGTAAAGAGGAAGATAGATGTCTGTAAATAATTATGTATTTACGACAATGTGACATGTAGATTAACAGTCATATAGGTGGGATATACTTAAATGATTACCACATTTTTCATACAAAGTAAATATCTGAGATGAATATGCCTATTGAAGTCTTTATAAATAGTAGGTATTTTTGAGAAGTGAGTTCTTCAATCAACTCTAAGTTTTTACAGTTTTATGTCTTGATAAACGATCCATAAGAATGGCCAGGTCTATGAAAAATACATCTTTTAAAATTGTATCTTGTCAATTTAAGAATGTTTGTAAAATAAAAAGATTGTTGTTGAGGAAATAGCTAATATCTAGCGTTAACTTGGATTAGATTCTGCATCAAACAAAACTGTGGGATTAATGATGAAAATAAATGGTAATAAAATGTTGTTGTGACTATGAATCAAGTGTTTGGCAGAAGACTATGTAATATATGGATTAATATAAATCCAATAAGAAATATCAAAGAGGATTGAATGTTAAAAAATAAAACATCTTTAATATTTAGAGACTGTTTCCCATAGTCTGTAGTTGATAGCTGTATCACACCCAACGTGGATGAGCTCCACTAGTTACGGCTTTTCACTCGAATCCCTGAAATTACCTCGTGAGCTTAGACACGTTTAAGCACATGATTATTATCAGTAAAAGAGGTTTGTTTGAGACTGTTGAATTTTTATAGTTTACTCCATAGATTGATCTTAACTTAACAGTCACTGAAAACTAAGGAGTACTAGACAACTCTTATGTTCTAGTGTGAGACTCTTCAAACTTTCTCATCCACCTAGTGAGAACCAGTGACCAGTGGAGTACAGCCATATGATGTGTGAGACAGTTATCCACCACAGGCAATGGGTAAGGGTAGGTCAATATTGTGAATCGATGGAAGTTGGACATTAGCACATTACCATCGGATGTCCGCCTAGTGTTCTATAGGTTAAGCGTTCGCATGTGAAGCCGAGAGTCCTCGGCTTGATTTCTGGTGGGGGTTTTAGAAGGGCACTGCTGAGGTGTCACACATCTAGAACGGAACAGATGTCGAATACTTTCTTTCTCGAAATAGTTCCGAAAATAATATCAACCTTTCATGTTAACTTTGACAGTCTAACAACCTCTACAAATCGTCTACATAACTAAACTAGTCATGTGCTTGAAAGACTAATAATAATGTTAAATTGTCAACTACAATTACAGTAATAATGATGATAATAATATAAAGATGAACAGAAGTAATAATGACGACAATATTTAAATGAGCCAAATTTTATATTGTGAAAACACGCAGTAGAAAGTTTGTTTACTCATTATTCAAATTAAGTCATTCTATAAAATAAATATTGACTTATTGAACTCAAAGTCGACCAGGATAAGAGAAAGAGGAAAGCATATTTCGTTTACCCACTTAGCTCTAATATTTTTATGCAGTATATGCAATATATTCAATCAAATTAACATCTATATAGCGAAAATCATTTATGTTTTAATAATGATAGTAATTTGTTTGAATTTGATGTTTATGCTCGATATTATTGATATATATGGTAAATGGAATGTAGTGTGACATTAATTAGGAATAATATATTTGTAAAATCTCAGCGAATTAATTTGTAGTAAATCCAGCGTTTCGCCTGGTAATCTAGTCTGAGCTTTCCTTGAAAAAATTAGGACCAGATTGCCAGGTGAAACGTTGGATTTACTTAAAATTCATTCGCTGAGATTTTACAAATTTGTTATTCCTATTTAATGTCTTACATCAACTAAGGCGACAAAATACTGTGAAACTGTTCGCTGTAATTTAGACGAAAGTTCTTATATAGGAATGCAGTGTGAATAATTTAATCTAGACCAGAAATTCACCATTGAAAATTGACCAGGTTTTGCAATATTATCATTAATTTTTAAGAGAATAAATTTTCTTTTTCGTCTGATCTTACTCGTTTTGGTTACCTATGCTTAATAATTTACAGAAAAATCATCCAGGATCAATGTGAATGGAATGTTTAGCTTTTTTAATGTTTCTACTTAATAACGTATTAGCAGAAAACCATTTTTATTTGAGCAACTGAATAATACAGTTAAGTTTGTCACTGAATTATTAATTAATTAGTCGTTAGCAACCATATATATATCATACAGATTCATTAATGTTATACCCGGTTATATTCACAGTTAAGTAAACTGAAAATATTACCAATGAACATGTGCTCTTATAAGCAGTTTACTTAACCTAATATTTATTAGACACATATTGAGTGTTAGGAAGGAGTAAATATGCAACCCAGTAATTTTATTATGCTTGTTTGTTAAAACACTTTATCTCTTAGTGTTATAAATTGTATGTTTGCATTAAGTTATTATAGAGTAGTATCAGTTTTGATGAGTTAGATGATAAAAAATAATTTGTTTCTGTTACAACACAGAGAATCTCAATATCAACAAAATGAATAGAATAATAATGTTTGTGAGACTAATTAATGGTCCATTTATTTTGTTGGAGTTTTATTCCCTAAGCTGGATGGTTTGGTCATGGAGCTTTTATTGTTATTCTGAACGACATCATAAACACAAACTTCAGAATAACGATGAAAGCTCCGTGATCAAACCATCCAGCTTAGAGAACAAAACTCCACTGAAATCATCCAATTAAGCTACAAATCTTTTCCACCACGGTACACATATCATATAAGATGACAGAAATCATGTGAATGAATGGCTTATTTATTCCAACTCATTTCATTTGAATGTAAAATTTACACTTGAGTGAAGTACGAAATAGTTTGTATTCTTGTATCTAGATATAAAAAAAAATAAAAATGGCTTGGTTACACATTAAATTTATGATATTACATCTAAATCTGGAAAAAATCAACTAAACAACGGCTTTTACCCAGGTTATTACAAAAGCCATATCGTTGGAAGATAATTTTTAAAGACTAAACATACTATACTCTGATAATAAACTTGAAAAGCATTGAGGAGTTTTTAATAAAAATTGACTATCTCTTAAATTTCATTAATAAACAATGAGTCCAAAAAATAATAATAAAAGCTCACTACTAATCATTGTTCCATAACAGAATATATTTCTTAAACTTTCATTTAAAATGGGATGACTTAAAGTCGTAGAATAACTGTAGAGTGAAAATAATTATTGAACTGACTTATCCAATACTAAAGTTAATCAGCTCATAATATATGAAATATATTCTTGCAGAAATCTTCATTTATATTCAGCTGTTAGCCCATATATTCTATTCTAAATAACACAAGTTAGAAGAATCAAAAATAGTTCTACATAAAAGAATCACTTTATATAAATCAATAAGTAAGTAAAGTAAATGGATCCAGATGGAGTTCATGCAACACTATTTTGTAATCTGATGTTCACTTCTGACTGTGTTCAACGTTTCACGTTTTTTTTCGCCTTTAACCTTTGTAAACTTTTTAAACTCACCTTTTTTCACCTAGTTATGTTTTATTATACACTATTTTGTGTTATTATTCATCTCATTAATTATATTATCACTTTAAAAAACGTGTAACCTCAATCACTTGAGCTATGGAAGTTCTTACCTTCTTTCCAAATAATCTTGAACTATGATTATTGTTACCATCATTACGATTTCTTTGTTGTTATTGGTTTTTTGAGTGGTTGATAATTATCTTGATGTGTTTGTCAACTCTAATGATAACAATTTGAAACATATTTTTTTCATCAATTAGATAATAAACTTTATTTTATATAGTTGAAATCATGAGTCAATTAAAGCTAGACCACCATGGAAAACCTGGAAGAAATGGACGGCTGTTTCATCCTATTATGGGACTTCTCAACAGTGCACATCCATGATGCAGACTCACGAGATTCCAACCCAGGACTTATCAGTCTCGCGCGCGAGCACTTAACCGATAGATGCGCACTTCTGAGGAGTACAACAATAAGAGGAAATGGCCGTCCAGTGCTTCCAAGTTTTTCATGGTGGTCTGGCTTCAATTGACTCATGGTTTGAACTATATAAAATTACTAATATCTCCACAAAACCACTTTCTGATAATAAACTTTATTGTTTATTTCACACTTATCCATAAGTTGAATTTGCATAATTAGAGGCAAGTATTATTGTTTATTTACACCATCGAACTGAATTATATTGTATCACTTTCTGTTTAACAGCATTTGTATAGCTACATATGAGGAAATTAGTGTATAAGAAAGGAAATGAACTTATTTAATTACACAGCATTTATAGTTTTTTCCTTTGTAAAACTTAATATGAAGAGAAAATATTATTCACTCAGTACAACATTTGAAACTTTACTTAAAAGGTGAAATGATTTATAGTTCTTATCATTGATCGAACTACAATTTTCTAATTGCAAATGAAGTAAATTTAGAACATACAATTTATTTAGATATCTATCTAATTTATCAAAAATGAACTAGTGTCAGTCGATAACATACTAATTAATGTAGTTCATGTTCTATAACTATAAACTGATATTTAATCTGTGATCAATTATCTTTAATATCATTACAAGATAGAACTGTTTCATTTATAAATTGGTTTATATTCTAAAAATC